GCATAGGTAACGCGACAATCGACCAATCAACAGGTGAAAGTCTATTTATGATGTAATGTGTGTTTGTCTCCAGCAGAGAGCGATATGGGACTACATTTCATTTGAAGGCAAGCATTGCACACGCAGTGTGAGACTGATAACTGTGAATTTAGATTAGGATGCCAAAATAATGCGGTGAGGTGAGAGCAAATGTTTAATTATTTCTTCATGTTAATCTCTGGAGGCAGCTCCTTTAAATAATACTTCATCATAAAGGTGGCAGACAAAACTATGCCCACATGTAGTAAGCTGTGTTTATGAAATGGCACCCCAGAAACCTCATGTACGGAGATAAATTAGCCTAAATAATAATATATTTGATAATGCTTAAATTGAAAGCCACAGGACTGAATTAATTGAAAGGCTAGCCTGCCAAATTCATTTTTCTCAATATTTTAAGTCAGAAAGTTTGAATGAGCTATATATCCTTGGAAGAAGTCACATTAAAAGCTGCACAAAATTAACATAATTCATTAAATGAACAAACACGTGTCCGTGAAAAGTTTCCTCGTCTCTCGCAGTTAGAGTGCGCTCAGACCGGTATATCTGGCCCGCGGCTGTACGCAGTTATGGGAGAGTCAGGAACCTGCCGCCTGTCCAGGATGCAGTCAGGTGTTTGTCCTTAAAAAAATACAAACCTTCACGTTACTGCACTGACACTAACGGATGAGTTTAACATTTAGGCTTCCAGCTAACAGGGAACGTTTTGGTTATGAACACACGTTCTTCCAGTTACACGAATAGGACGTTCGTCCGGTCTTTTACAAAATGTTAGCACAAAAATGTTATTTATAGGCTACATCGTTCATGACATTTTTTTTCTGAAAACGTCTTATGTGTGTGTGTGTGTTTTTACATTATTACTTGCTTGTTGAGAAATCATTCAAAAGTAATGTTGCCTTAATATTTGCAAAACGATCAAATAGAACGTTTCCTTAATGGTTTCTCTTAACGTTCACATAACCAAGAAGATATGTTTTTAATCCATTAAAAAAATTGGAGAACATTCAAACATAACTTAATTAGTTCTTAAAAACACACACACACACACACACACACACACACACACACACACAGCTGGTTATGGTAAAACACACACACACCAGAACAAATGTTATGAAACAGGACTGTATGACAAATTGCTCTTTGTGAGCATCGTACATTGTAAGTAAATAAATATTTGAATTATTAAACAGAATGGCACACACACACACACACACACACACACACTAGCTGGGCTTTCCTCATCTTTTTCTGTTTTCTATTGTAATAATAATTGTGTGAGCTTTCTGCTGTTTCAACCCTTAAAGCTCCTTGATAGAGAATAATCATATCTGTTTAATTGTTTAACAAAAGATAATGTTGTATTTTGTCTAAATGATTTTTTTCTTATAAAAGATAAAAATGCGTCATGTAGTGGATCATAATAATGACTACCCATCAACTTCAAGAACATATTGCTACATTTTTATGACCCCACATCCTCCTTCAATTGGATATGGTCATGTACTGTTCATATATTCTTGTGCAATTTTTCCAGGAACTGAAAATAACAAGATAATTTTTTCATTGACAGATATTGTAATATAATATTATATTATAAGCAATGCATTAAGCATATATATATATATATATTTTTTTTAAACAATCACTTTCTGTCAAGGCTCCTTATAATATACAGGGATGTAATAGGTTGTTCTCTTTGCAGTTATTACTGCTATAAGTTATGTCTATTTGTATCAGAGCGAATGGGGTGTGTACATTACAACAGGTTACTTCATTAGCATGCAAGCAGACACTTCACAGAGGTGGATTTAACTGAAGATTAAGAACATAGTCACAAAAGCTATGCTTGTTTTTCCTGCATTTTAAACACAAACGGAACATTTCATTGATTGTTCTCATGAAAATATGAGCAGTTGTAAGTGATATTTAAATTCCCTTTGACCATGTCATGACTGTTTATCGCACGCGCCGCTCTTTTAATACAGTGTACGTCATAATGCCAGTGTTCTCCTCTATTCTCAGGTTTCGCTCACCTGTACACATCATAAACCCAGGTTAGTCATTCCCACCTGCCCATTTGCTTTTACCTGTTCTAAAATGAAACCTGTGTTGTAAACCTGCCTCTCATAATCCCACAAAACTTATGCAATTTCCTGCCAGATGAAAGGAGACTTTAAAAACACACTTTATTGGCAAATAAGCCCCCCTCCACCCTGCCATTGGAAATCTCCTTCAAACAGCTCATGTGGAGAGAGAATGAAAACAGGCCAGTATTTGCTCTCTGGTGCTGTATTTCTGATAAATGTCTCCAGTATGTTCTCATTCATCCACAATAGAGACTTGAATATGTGTGGTCGGGTGAAATAAACGTGAAAATCACACGTACGTACACACACACACACACACACACACACACACACACACACACACACTGGTGTAAATGTTGATTGAGAGTGATTGTAGGCATGTATTGTCATATGTGTGAGCTTCGGGAAACTCTTCACCTTTGCCTGTTTGTCTTTGGATGTTTTTTTTTTCTGCCAGGATCAAGGAAAAGAGAGAAACCTACATCTATGACCACCCAAACACGGAAGTAACCAGGACACACCCGGAGTCATAAACTGTGGCAAAGGGCCAAACCTTTGGATCATATGCAGATAGAGATTCCTGGTTAATAAACAATTGTACAAAAGGAACGAGTGGATAAACATAATAGTGGAAGAAAGAATGACTGGGATATGTGTAATAAAGTTTACTCCCCCATCTGACATGGTTTACTATAGTAAAACAATATAGTATAATTCATATATTATTTAATATATTATATATTAATATAATATAATTTAACTGTTCATGTTATGAGTCAGCATTGAATCACATATTTCATTCATCTTTTGAAACGTGTGGTGAAAGTAACCAGCCCACGTTTTTGTTCTGAAATATTCCCGTGGCTGTGAAATAACCTGCACGTCAGGTTGGTGCATTGGCCACCTGCATCATTTCTGACCAGGATGCGGTTTGCAATCCTGAGGCTCTGAGCCGACCATTGTCAAAGTCACATAGCGCGGTAAGGTTCCAGACCCAACCTGTACACACCCACCTCTGGCAGACCTCGCCCTTACCAGTACAGATTCATCCCGGCTTGTCTTTACAGTCCGGTTCTCACGGGTGAAACGTCGGCATCGCTTGAATCAGATCTCGATTGAGAGAATTATCTCAACTGAATGATCTGATGTTTACAGTCTTTGATAAAGTGTTACCCCTTGAGGTTTCTCTCAGTGTTTAGTGTACTGAATTGAATTATAATGAAATGAATTGAATAAAACTGAATGGAAATGAAGCTCACAAATTGAAAACCTGAAGACAGCTATGATAACCCATTTCTCTCGATGCACTATATCAGGGATTCACAAACTTTTTTATCAGCCAAACCCCTTTGACCTAACATCTCCGGAGATATTAAGTTAATATTTTAATTTTACGACACATTCATATGTTCATTGATCTCTGATGTTGATTAATGGTCACATGACTTGCAGGTAAACAAAATATTTCAATGTTTTTGGTTATTGTTGACTTTATTTTCTTTATATAAAATTATGTAAATGTTATATTTTCATGATTTAATTAATCATAGCTTTTTTATCTGCTCACAAATAATTTTTAATTGAATATTGACAAATTTAAAGTTGAGTCTCATAACTTAAAAAACTTAATTCGACTGATAACATTTGCGGATAAACCTATATTATTATTATTATTATGAAGCTTAATTATAATGACTTGAATTAAGCTAAATTAAAATAAGACTTACTACTTTAAAACCTTATGCCAGCTGTGATAACCTAGTAAAAATTTTCGATAAGTCCCACATTAACTAACATTAACTAACGAGCAATTTTTTTTGTTCGCAGTATTTTTAAATCTCTGCTAACTTTAGATAGTACAAATACAACTGTTCATTGTTAGTTCCTGTCAACTCGGGTCCATTAAATAATATTAAAAGATACAACTTTTGATTTTAAAAATGTATTAGTAAATGTTGAAATTAACATTAAAGTTAATAAAGGCTTTATAAATATTTTCCTTATTAAGTCATGTTAACCAATGTAGTTAACTAATGTAAACAAATGAAACCTTATTGTAAAGTGATACAGATAACCTGTTACAACTTTATATTTCTTGCAATGCACTATAAAACTAAACCTAAATTGAATTGAATTGAAATTGGTTTACAACTTTAAATTCTCAGAGAGACTTTGACAATTGATTACCATTTTGCTTCTCTTAACCTAAATTATATATTTAACTGAATTGATCTGAATCTAATTCAATTGAACTGAAATCAGTTGAATTGACTCACAGCCTTATTGAGAATTG